GATCTAAGGATTACTACCTCGGGATTGTGAAGTGCTCTCTGAATTCTATTCAAGTATGACCCTGCACAAATGGCCCAGGAGGCAAGGCTGAGTAACTTCTGCTATTAAAGGATCCCATTAAGTCCTGGGTGTCTGTCTCTCTCTGTTTCTTTATTTAAAAAAAAATGTGTGTATGTATGTGTGTATGTATGTATATATATGTATGTGTGTATGTATGCATGTGTGTGTATGTATGTATGTGTGTATGTGTGTGTGTTATGTATATATGTTTGTGTGTATGTATGTACGTGTGTATGTGTGTGTTATGTATGTATGTTTGTATGTATGTATGTGTGTGTGTGTGTGTGTATGCACATGTGCACGGGCTTGCACTTGTTTATGCACCTGCTTGAGAGTGCCCACAGAGGCCATGAGAGGAGGTTGTCAGATGGCCTGGAGTTGGAAGTTACAGGCAGTTGTATGCTTCGTCATGTGGAAGGTGGGAACCAAGCCTGGGTCCTCTCCAATGCAGCAAGTGTTCTTAACTTTAACAGTAGAGCCCACCTACTGTACTTCTGCCCGAAGTGTCTATTCTTCATTAAATTTTTATATTAATTCTAGTCTAATAAATTCCTTTACCCCAACCCCCACCCCTCAAGCCTTGGACTAGTTCCTACTTAAAACATACCTTTGGTCTTCACCCTCAGGTCTTGGCCCAGGAATCTTGGGACCCCTGGCATTTACTGAGTGATAAGGGTGAGGGGAATATCTTTTAGCATTCCTAAACCCTTTAATCCCTGCTTGAGACAAGGTCTCCCTCTGTGGTTCAGGCTGACCTCAAATTCACTGTGTAGCTCCAAGTCAAAACAATCCACCTGCCTCAGCCTCTTGAGTGCTGGGATTAGAGGCATGCACCACCTCAGCTAGTTCAAAAGTCCAATTCAAACATAGCAAAGTGGATGTTAGTTATGACTCCAAGATGTCTCCTGGAGGATGGGGAGGCTGATTGATGAAAGCCAACTTTGTGATTTGAGGATTAGAGCTTTTAACCCAACCCTGATCTCCAGGAAGGGGAGAGAGAGCAGAGATTGATTTAACCGCCAACAGCAGGTGACTTAATCAAACTTAATCAGGCTTCTGTAATGATGATCTACAAAAGCCCTAAAACTGGGGTTCAAAGTTCAGAGAGATTTCAGGTTGGTATATCAGTGTGCCAGGAACATGCCCAAAGGATTCCATTCACCTCATCCCTGGCTCTGTTTATTTCTTCTGTTTCATTGCTGTTCCTTAGGAGACAGGTAGGGGACTTTTCTCTCATCTCAGAACCCCAAGTGCTGGGATTACAAGTGTTCACCACCACAGTGGGTTCTGAGCTGAACCCTTTAGAACAAAGTGACAATAGTAAGTAAGGAACTTTCCCGGGTTCTATAAGCCATTCCAGCAAATTACTGAGCAGGAGGAAGTGTTCTGACTGGCAGCAGGTTAGCTAGAAGTGCAAGTCACAAGTGGCATTAATTCTGGATACCTGGTGTCAAAACTATAGGATAAGACATCTTACAGAGTTGGAGATCTGTTTTATGTGAACTCACACATTTGTTGTTAGAAGTAATGTTCATAAAAGTTTTTTTTTTTCTTTTAAGCTTTTTTTGGGGCATGGGGATTGAGACAAGGTCACATGTAGCTCAGAATGACATCGCACTAAGTATGTTGCCAAGGATGACCTTGAACTCCTGGTCTTCCTGCCTCCATCTCCCAAGTGCTGAGATTACAGGCATACCCATCCATACTCTGTGACCCTTTTTTTCTGACGCTTATTTTTTCTGCTAATCCATTTGTAACAGCCTTTCCGTAGCACAAAGAGATTTACAGGTTTTTGTTTTACAAAACACTCGTAAAAAAATCTCTCTGTGATTAGCATTTAAGGATCATTTCTTTGGCAGAGCTTTAGGGTCCCAAGGAGAGCCCCATCAAAAGCCCTGAACCTCAAGAGAGTGTTTCAGGTAGGCAGAGAGAAGCTAGCTCAAGCCATGAGGAACAGCAGGTGGAAGAGAACCAGCTGTTAGAGCTGAGAATCACCACTGATTTAGCTGAAGATGCCCAAGTCTCTCTTTTTGGTCAGAAATATCTTTCCCAAATTAACGCTATAACACCTTTTTATTCCAAATGTATATGAAGGAGTGGGCGCTGTTTCAACAGGCTCCACATTAGTGTGGCAAAATGAGTCAGCAGATACCCTCGAAGCAGCAGATCTACAGGAAACAGACTGGCGACAGAGCAATCACCATGCCTCATACCAGCCAGCTCCCACACAGCCAAGGCCAGGAAGCTCCTGCCTGGCCTCAGTGTCACAGGGGCAGACAAAGGAGGTAGAGCGCCATTGAATTCTCATCTCGTCCATGGGCCAAAGGACAGGCAGTACTTTTTAAAATAAATTTTACATGATTTGTTGTTGTGTTTGGTGGGGGGGGTGGTGTGTGTGTGTGTGTGTGTGTGTGTGTCTTTGAGTGGCCACAGAGCCTGGAAGAGAGTATTGGATCCCTTGGAGCTGGAGTTACACCTGACCTGGGTCCTCTGGAAGAGCAGCAAGCACTTTTATAACTGAGCCATTTCTCTGGCCCTGGGAGTACCTGTTTTATTAGGGCGTACTGGACACATCCCAGGTACAGCAATGAGATAACTTTGTTAGCCTATGAGGCTGAGATGAAAGGCCTATATGATTGCTACATTGCACTCATATCAGATCCAAACATAACAATGAAATTTCCTTCTTTTCTCTAGCATGGGGAAGAAGTACTTCCTTTTGCAGAGGGCCCTCCTATGAGTTACTATTCAATTCTATTAATATTCCATAGCCATGGGCTCACTAAGCATGAATATACTCTGGAATATAGGCTGACTTCCAGAGATTCTGGTTGCTTGTTTCTTACTCATAGCTGCTGCATGGTTTTGATTTCTGTATTCTTGGATCAAAACCAGAAGGGTGCTATGTTGTGAACTATTGCTTTAACCGTGTAAAGGTGTGTCACATTTGTTTATGCTGCATTTGTTTAACTGTGTAAAGGTGCGTTGCATTTGTTTCACCTTGCCTGCCTATGGCACCTAATTTGTCCAATAAAAAGCTGAATGGCTAATATCTAGGCAGTAGAGGGATAGGCAGGGCTGGCAGGCATAGAGAATAAGTAGAAGGAAAAATCTAGGCTTGAAAGAGAAGAGAACATGGAGAAAGAAAAGGAGATGCTAAGGGCCAGCCAGCCAGGCAGTCTCCAGACAGACAGACACTGAAGAAGCAGGAAAAGTAGGACATACAGAATGAAAGAAATTTAAAAATCCTCAAGGCAATAGGTAGATGAAGAGAAACATGTTAAAATAAATTATAAGGGCTAGTGGGACAAGCATAAGATAAGGCTGAGCATTCATAATTGATATTAAATCTGTGTCATGCTTTGGGAGTGGGTTGGAAAGCATGCTAGGTTTAGGTACACCCCTATAATCTCAGCCACATGGTCTTTAAAAAAAATGAAACTATAGATACGGGCGGTAGAACAATTAAATTCACAGAGGTTAGGAATAGAGGATGGGAGTTGTTTAAAAGATAAAATTTGGGGGCTGGAGAGATAGAGCGCAGCTCTTGTGGAGGACCCAAGTTCAGTTCCCAGGACCCACATGACAGCTTAGAAACACCTGTGACTCCAGTTCCAGGGAAATCCAATGCTGTCTTCTGGCCTCTATAGACACTAGGCATGCCCGTGGTGCACATGCATACACGCAGGAAAACACTCACATACATAAAAAATAAGTAACCCAAGACTGGAATGATCATTTAGCCATTAAGAGCACTGGCTGTTCTTCCAGAGAACCTGAGTTTGGTTCCCTGAACCGACATGGTGGCTGGCAACCATGTCCAGTTCCAGGGGATCTGATGCCCTCTTCTGACCTCCATGGGAACCAGGCACACACATGGCACACACACATATATGCAAGCAAAACACAGATAAAAATAAAATAATTAATTAAAAATCTCCAACTCATAGTATACATAAAATAAAAATGAATAACACAAATGCTAAAATTTATGTTTTATAAAATTTATCAAAATAAAAACCACTAGCTGGGGATAATGGTACAAGGTTGTAAACTTGGTTTTTAATGTCGGTGAGTTCAAAGACAGCCTGGGCTCCATAGCAAGTTCTATGTTAGCCTGGACTACAAAGTGAAACTATTTTGTTGTTTTTCTTGAGACAGGGTTTCTCTGTGCAACCCTGGCTGTCTCGGAACTTGTTCTGTAGACCAGGCTGACCTCAAACTCAAGAGATCTGCCTGCCTCTGTCTCCTGAGTGTTGAGATTAAAGACGTGTGTTTCTGTGCCTGATTAGTGTAGTGAAACTGCTTTAATCATCACTGCCCACAAAAATGTAAGGAGAAATATGGCAAGCACAGATGATTTTTTTTTTTTTTGCTCAGTCTTGAGTCATTTTAATGTGTAGAGACCAATTCTCAGCAATGATAGCTCACTTGAAAGTCATTATTTTTATTTGATTTCTGGTCAAAAGCCTCAGTGTAAGAGTGGTACTCTTTAGTGTCCAGAGTCACTGCCTCTTAACTTTATAAACACTAGTAGGGGAGGGGAGTATCGGGGAGGAAGACCAAGAAGGAGGGGAGTCTAGAACAAGTCATTTGGGGATAAGAAGCAGGGAAGAATAGGTTTGTTTTCAGAAACATGTAATGTACCAAGTGTGCTCATAGCTGGCAGGAGCACAGAAAGACATTATCCTTGCAGGTGCACCCTGGGGGTGGTGACAGCAACTGCCTCAGAGCGGTGTGGGCGGGCGGTGCATCAAGGTGAGGCCAAGGTCAGGAGAAGGAAGGCAGGATTAGCTTCGGCTGAAATTTCCTCCGGCTGTATGAGTTTCCTGTGACACCATGTAATCTGTACAGTTTCTTTACCACCCTCCCTGGCCAGTTTAGGATTACATTCATGTTTAACCCAAGGGGGGAAAAAAACACTAGTAGAGGTTCAATGGTCCCATTTGAAGGCTTTTTTTTTATTATTATTGTTACGATAACTAAACATGCTAAAATCACATATACAGTGGCTATTTTTGCCCTGACTCCACAGCGGGGTAGCTGAGAACTATAGGGTTGTCACGTGGCTCTCGTGGCTCTGGGGATAACTAGAGATGGGGGTGGATTAAGAGGTAGGCAGATTAGCAAAGGCCAGAGAGCCCCTTGAGTAATATGCATTTAACAATAACTTGTAGCTTCAGACATCTTGCCCTTTTCTACTTTTCTTTCCTTCCTAAATGTTTCCTAGTTTTCTCCAGACCTTCTGCCATCTCTGGCTCCTCTGACTTCAGACTGGACAATGAAAGAAGAGTTTCCTTGCCTCTACCTGCTTTCTTTCCTTGGAAGAAATCTACTCAGCATGCACTAATACGTTAAGCTGCTTGATTTTTTTTTGGGGGGGTACAGGTTGTTTTTGAGACAGGGTCTCTCTCTGTGTAGCCCTGGCTGGCCTTGAACATACAGAGATCCACCTGCCTCTGTCTTCCAAGTTCTGGGGCAAAAGGCATGCACCACCACTCTGTAAACTACTTGATTTCTGTCTGCCCAGGGGAAAGGGCAGCTGCATTGTGGCTGAATAGTGGGAGATGGAAGGGATGGTGTCAAAGGACCAGAAAGTGTTACCTGGAGTGTGAATGCTGCATCTGGGAGAATACGTACACCCCACCCTCAGGCACTGCACTCTGAAGGCACTCCCATCCTGCCCTTAGCATTAGGGATAGAGAGAGGTCAAACCTCGAAGTCATTTGTTCTCTGCAAGGGACTGACCCACCCTTAGCCTAGTGACTACCAACTGAAATCTTCTTGTGTCCTTGTGTCTCTACAACTGTGACGGCTTAAGAGAGCCTGAGAAGAGAATATATCAAGGTTAAGCTTGCCTCTAGGAGAGGCTAGAGGGATAAAGGGACAAGACACATGAGAGCCAGAGCTGTGGAGGGCAGAGAGGAAGTAGAAGAATGAAGGGAAGGCTGGCCATTCAGGAACTGGAATCCTTTTTCCTTTTCTGGAATCGCCTGAACTTGCCCTGAATTGCAAGGGCAGCCTTCTCTGTCTCTGGAGCTGTCAGGTCAATGTCAATCTCCTCCTCTTCCTCAGCCTTCTTGATGCTGCCAGCCTTCCCTGTGGACAGTTAAGAGACTCATTGATGAGTCAACCCAACCAATTACCGCCCTGTCCTCCCAGCCTCAAACACAGTGCTCTGAGTCCACTTTGAGTTAGACTGTCAGGTCCCCCAGTCTTCTCAAGGACTACAGATGACTGATGATTCTAAAAGTTAGGGTGCTAGGCTTCGAATTAGCATTGCTATCACAAGAAGTTTTGCTGATTCTTGGGTCGAGTGACAAATGTCTTCTATCACCACTTATTCTTAAATCCTGTCATTCAAATCCCAAAGGGTACTTCCTTCCTCCAATTTCTAATGGAGAACAGTGGCTTGGATTATCTGATAAGTTTCTTCTATCACTCAAAAATGTTTTGTGGGGCTGGAGAAATGGCTCAGTGGTTAAGAGTACTTAATGTTCTTGTGGGAGACCTAGGGTACAGTCCCAGCATACACATCTGGTGGCTCACAATCACCTGTAATTTCAGTTGCAGGGGCTCTGAAGCCCTGTGACCTATTTGGGCACCTTCATGCATGTGGTGCACATAAACTCATACAGACCAATACACATACATAGAAATTTTTTGAAATAAACAAATCTTTTTAAATATATTACTTCCCACTGCCACCCCCCCCCAATCTGTATGTGCCTCATGTGTGAAGGTCAGGGGACAATTGTGAATGCCACTTCTTGTCTTCCATCATATGGGTCCTGGAGATTGAACTGAGGCCATCAGGCTTGGCAAACAAGCACTTTTTCCCACTGAGCCATCTTGCTGGCCCCTTCTTATCACTGTACATGTCCTTTCCAGCCATACAAGACTTTACTTGATAAAATCAAAAGAGAATGCTGACATAATTACATCTCAGGAAAAAGTAGCAAGAACCTAGAGCTATAGTACTCCCTGGTTTCGCTTGCCCACACCCCTTATTCCTTTGATATCTGGTATTAGGAGCCTCTAGATTTACAGTTCTTCTTGCATCATGTTTCTACCTTCATTAGCTCCGCTAACAGCCTAGGCCAGCCTCACTTACCTTTTTCCTCAGGGTCAGATGCCTGGTTGGTTGCTGGGGGTGTTTTTGTGTTGAGCTGGAGGAAAAGAATAACACTGTGAGATACACATGGAAGTCTAAAGGTTCCACTGCCTTAGATTTTTTATGCACAGCCAAGCTTCCCATGAGCAGGCATATTCCCCAAATCTTTGGAAGAAGTGGGTCTTGAGATCAGATGAAAATCATCAACATCCATTCAATAAGCCCAGTGTGACAGACAATGCCTGTAATCCTAGCATTCACGAGACCAAATTGTAAAGGACAAAACAGATACGGTAACCCTGCCTTCACAGAGCTCATTCGAGGGATATTCAGACAAACAAGGTGACTGTGCTGTAAGGTGACAAAAAGTACTAGAGAAAAGGCAAGCTAGGGAAGTAATGGAATTCTAGTTAAGGACAGAGGAACGGGCCTTTACATAGTTGTCAGGAAAAGCCCATTGAGTCAACTGTGGAGTTGTTGTTATTATTATTATTACTATTTAGTACTGAGGAGTGAATCCAGGGCCTCAAGAATGCTAGACAAGTGCTTTAACACTGAACTATATCACCACCCTTGGAAAAGTCTCTCTGAAAGGTGGCACTTGACCAAGAAGCTGAAGGAGGTAAGGTGGTAAAGACTGGATATCCATGGCAAACCCCTGAAGTGGAAGTATGACTGGCCTCTTTGAAGAACATGGGGGTGGGGAGAGGGGTCCAAGTAAAACCCTTGGAGAACTCTGATTTGCACAAAAGGCAAATGAAAGAGGAGGCAGAAAGCCTGGGAGGAGAGGGGAGGGATTACTGCAGAAACCCAAGCAAGAGAAGATGGTAGCTTGAATCAGGACAGTGGGAATGCGGGGAGCCAAGTGGTGAGGTTGTGAAAATTCTTTTCAAACTATGATCAAGGTGATTTTAATTGGATAAGTAAGTGGTATTGTGGTAAACAGGGAGTCAAGGATGGCTCCTGAGGAGGAGAACTGGCCTGACAAATGAAAAAAAAGGAGTTCTCATTTCCCGCTGCACAGAAGACAGCGAATGGCATAGGATTTAGGGAGAGAGGACCAGGAGGTCTTCTGGTTTTGGTTTTGGGTTTAAAAACAAGTTTTGGGTATCTATTAATCATCCAACAGGAGATGTTTCTTTTTTGTCATTTGCTAGCTTGATTGACATGGGGTCACTATGCAGACAGGGTAGCCCTTGAACTAATTAATCCTCCTGCCTCCAGCCCTTCACCTCCCAAGTTCTGGGATGACAGACATGTGTGCCATGATGCCTGTCTCTCTAGCATATGCTGTTTTTCATAGTAAGGGTTTGCTTCAGCTTCCGATTTAAGAAAGGCCACGCTGCCATCATGAACAAGGAGGCATGGCAGCAGGAGTGTGAGGAGGCTGCTCACATTGCCTCCTCTCTATCATGTTTTTAAGGGATTGTTCTATCTGGCAGAGATTAAACTACAGGCAAAAAAGAGGTAAACCATGGGGCGGGGAATTAGGAAGGTTTTACATCATTCTAAGCAGGTGAGTGGGCATTAAGACTGGGATCATAGTGACAAGTGACAGAGAGTATCAGACTTCAAAAAAAAACTTTTGTGCTAACACGCTAGATTGGCAGGTGCAACCTTGAGTACAGAGAACTCTGTGAAAGAACTTTCTCTTTAAAGACAGCAGAACTGGACAACAGTTCGGGACAGATATGAGGCTGCAGAAAGGTGTTTGTTAAAGTAGGAGATCTGAATGCTGATGAGAAGGAAAAATTGATGATAGAAGAGAGAAAGGATAATTGCCAGAGTGGCATCTCGAATGAATGAGCAAGAAAAAACAGATACAATATGTAAGCAGAAGGGTTGGCTGTAGACAGAGTGTTAGCGCAGCATTTACAGACAGGAATGAAGGCAAACTGGTGGCAGACGTGATGGGAATGTACAGATGATCTCTACTGAGTGTTCCTATTTTTCTCAGTGAAACAAGAAGGGCAGTGGTCATCCGAGTTAAGAGCAAGGTGTCGTGGAATATTACTTTTACTAGGCAAAGATGCGTTACATTTGTTGTATTTGTTTGATTATGTAAAAACAAATATGTTACATTTGTTTTACCTTTCTTGCCTAAGGCACCTGATTGATCTAATAAAAAGCTGAATGTCCAATAGCTAGGCTGTAGAGGGATAGGTGGGGCTGGCAGGTGGAGAGAAGAATGAGAAAAGAGAAGAGAAGGAGGAAGAAAGACAGGGAGACACCTGGGGCCAGTCAGCCAGGCTGCCAGCAGCCAGACATGGAGTAGGACATACAGAATGAAAGAAAGGTAAAAAGCCTTGAGGTAAAACACAGATGGAGAGAAACAGGTTAAATTAAGTTATAAAAGCTAGTGGGACAAGCATCAGATAGGCTGAACACTCATAATTAATAATAAGTATCCATGTCGTGATTTGGGAGCTGCCTGGTGGCCCAAATGAAAGCCTACTACATCAAGAAATGATAAAGGCTTGAGAAAAGCTGAGAATGAGTGACATAGTCATCTAAGAAAGCGAGTGATTGTGTGATACAGCAGGATTACCAGAGAGTGAGAAAGAGCCCTCGTGAGATTAGTGGCTATGGATTTAAAGTGAAATCAACCAAGATACTGCCCCGATCTTTCAGGATAGGTGTCTTAGTTAGGGTCTGTATTGTAATAAACACCATGAGAAAAAGCAACCTGGGGAGAGAAGGGTTTATTGCAGCTTACAGTGGCACATGACAGTGATGGGGGATGTCCTTCTGTGTATATGTTTGTCTTATTGGTTGATAAATAAAGTACTGTTGGCCAATAGGAAAGCAAGACAGGTGGGACTAGGAGTCGAGGAGGATTCTGGGAAATGTAGTAAAAAGAAGTCTTGTAAGCCTGGTGTTGGTGGTGCACACCTTTAATCCCAGCACTCAGGAGGCAGAGGCAGGCATATCTCTGTGAGTTCGAGGCCAGCCTGGTCTCCAGAGTGAGTGCCAGGATAGGCTCCAAAGCTACACAGAGAAACCCTGCCTCGAAAAACCAAATAAATAAATAAATAAATAAAACAAAGAAGTCTTGTGATCCAGGCAGCAAGTGACACAGCAGGCAGACTCATATATAAGCAGGGACAAACAGGAAGTCATCCTCTTGCTCTTGCTCTTCTTCCTGCTCTCTGGTCTGAAGCCACCATGTGAGCCCATGAAGACAGTGTCTTATGATTATGGTTGATAATTAAGACTGAGCTAGCAGATTAGAAATCCTAGTCATTGTCCAGCAGCATTGTACCTAAAACAAGTCTCTTTGTGTTATTTGGGGCCCTAACTCCGTGGGCGGAACTTGGGCAGTTTGCTGGAAAGATTTATTGTTACAGGACCGTCCATCACTGAAGACAGTCATGGCAAGAACTTGAGGCAGAAACCTGGAGGCAGACACCGAGGCAGAAACCATGGAGGAATGCTGCTTAGTGGCGTGCCCAGCCTTCCTTCTTATAGTACCCTGGGCCATCAGCCCAGAGGTGGCACCATGCACAGTGATCCAGTCCCTCCCACACCAATCAAGAATACATAATACAGGTTTGCCCACAGGACAATGTGATGGGAGCATTTTCTCAATTGAATCTCCCTCATTCAAAATGACTGTAGCTAGCTTCAAGTTGACATAAAACTAGCTGGCAGAGTGAGGAGAGAAAACAGATAACTAAGCAATAATTACTGAGTATCTATTATTGTGTGTGAAACTTACCCTATTTAATTCACTGAGATGTCATCCTATTTTATAGGTGAAGAAACAAACCTTAGAACAATGTTCTAGATCTTGCCCAAGGCCAAGTCATACAAATAAAAAATGGTAGACCCGGTTGTGGAACACAGGAAGACTAACCCTGGCTCCACAGACCAGATATTTTCATATGCTGACACAATGTGCTAATATGTTAATAATGATTGCACTATTTCAGGCACATAGATGCACACTGAAGTATACTTTCAACTCTGGTTAACTATTCTAATAAAAAGTTAGGAGGACCCGAGTGTGGAAACACAGGCTCTAATCCCAGCACTTGGGAGATGAAGGTTGAAGAGTTCAAGATAGCCTTCAAAATATAGCATGCTTTGCTATATTTGCTCTGTAGACTAGGCTGGCCTTGAACTCAGATCCACCTGCCTCTGCCTCCCAAGCACTGGGATTAAAGGTGTGTGCTACCACTGCCTGGCAAGGTAGAATCCTTTTAGATGAGGGAACCTCAAATAAAAAAATGTCCCCACAGGATTAGCTGGGGAAGTCTGTGGTAAATTCCTTCATGTGAGAGGCCCCAGTTCACTGTGGGCAGTACTATGCTGGGCCGATGGTCCTGGGTACTGTAAGAAAACAAGCTGAACAAGTCATGAGGAACAAGTCAGTAAGCTGCATCCCTCCATGGCCTATGTATCAGCTCCTGCTTCCAGGTTCCTGCCCTGACTTCTCTGGATGATGGACTACAAGATGTCATATGAAATAAACCCTTTCCTGCTGAAGTCAGTTTTGATCATGGTGCTTGCGGCAGTTTGAAAAAAAAAAACGGCCCCCAAAGGGAGTGGCACTATTGGGAGGTATGACGTTGTTGGAGTGGGTGTGGCCTCGTTAGAGGAAGTGGTCACTGTGGAGGCGGGCTTTGAGGTCTCGTACACACAGTGAGATAGTTCACCTCCTGTTGCCTTTGGATCAAGATGTAAAATTCTCCAGCACCGTGTCTGTCTGCTTGTCGACATACTCCCAGCAGCCACGCTCCTCGCCATGGTGATGAACTAAACCTCTAATACTGCAAGGAAGCCACCTCAATTAAATGCTTTCCTTTATAAGAATGCCACCTATGGTCATGGTGTCTCTTCACAACAATAGAAACCCTAACTAAATCTGTGCTTTATCACACACCAGTAGAAACCCTAACTATGACGCCATATTTGTTACATTTTTATTGCTGTGATTAGACACTGTGACTAAGGCAAGTTATAACAGAAGGCATTTAATAGAGCTTATGGTTCCAGAGTATTAGAATCCATGATGACAGGGTGAAGCCTTGGCAGCAGGACCAGCAGAGGGTT